CCTTGTTGATGGGTGCGTTCTGTAAATTGTGTGTGTTTTCACTTTTGGGGGCAAAAAAGCTGACCAACCATTGTGAAAATAAACCTGCTGCAAGCCATTCCTGTTTAAAGATGCTAGTTACCTGGCTGTAGCTGGTTCGGTACTACGTTAGAATGGATGACAGCAAGGCAGCTAGAATATTCAGGAGGAGAGATCTGCAATTGCAGCCTACATGTATCTGTCATGACGGGCTTAATTTAAGCAGAGTCTTGAAAGTGACATAAATTGAGCTAAACACTGCTAATTTCAAATATGTACATACTCATGAATATATCAAAGGGTCACTTGGACACCCTGTATTAAATGTTTTCTAAAGTTTTTTTTTTTTTTTTTTATATATATACATGCTTTAACAAGGACAAGGTACATCTGTGTAATGTTAATGAGCTCCTGTTTCCTTTTACAGCTCTTGTCGCTGGTACTGTTGTTGGCCTACTGTTTGCCATCTTCATCATTGTTTTGTTGGTCATGCGCATTAGAAGAAACAAAGGCGACCTCACCTACGATACAGTCAAAAAACCCATCTACAAGAAAGCACCTACAGTTGAGGCGTAGAAGTCTTGCAAAGCTTTTGACTGATTCACTTTTTGAAATGCATTATGGACCCATGAACACCTTTTGTATAAAAATGCATTCCTATTACTGCTCAAGAGATTTTAAAGAAATCTGTTATGACTTACCCAGTTAAAGTATAGATAGGATGCAAAATAAGCTGTTAACTGTTGACTCTCTAAAGCTATGATGGTTGCCATTGTCTCAGGACTGGCAAACCTTTTTTCTTTTTTTTTTTTGTATGCTGTTGATGTATGAGGAGAAAAAAGTGGATGGTAAATTAAAGGTACACTACATAAAGATTGGACTGTATTTTTATGTTCATTATACATAAACACTAATGCACATATACTGTATTTAATGATTTGTGTCACTGAGAACTTACACTGCATTTTATCATTTTTATTTCTAGGATCCACTTTTTTTTTTTTTCTTCCCTTCTACCATTTTTATGAATCTGTATTTGCGTTTTTATTCCTCCACTGAGACAAATCTCTTTACATTTGTCCAACCTTGTTTTTATTCAGATAATCACATCTGGGTTTTGGGGTTTGCCATTGCCTTGGTAACAGTGCCATTTTCAGGGATTGCAACGAATGTGATTGATCACCGTGCATGCTGCTACAGTGGTAGTGCTCTCCCTGGAATCTGCTCTGCTTCTGGGATGTCATGAATGACCACCTCCTTTATGGTGGCAAGAGCTCAGTCCTGCAGGTCCCCCCCCCTTCCCTTAGATTAATCCAGCCTTGATGTAGTCCACTCTTGGGCAATCTGTGTCCTCTAGCTATTGAGGAATTCTAATGTACAGTGCATTATTGGCTTGTAATGTTAGGAGTTGTAATTTCTTAATAGCCAGATGTCAATATATTGCTTATTCTGGGTATGGAGCAATATAGATCATAATTTTATGTGGAGGTCCCATGGATTAAAGAGATGGATATCTCTATTTTTCCTTTCAATAGAAATGTCATATTACTTGGAACCCCCCAAAAGGTTTTTATGGTCCCATATATTGCATACCCCTAGTGTATGCCAATTCCCATTTAAATGGATTTGTGTGTAGAAAGAGATAAAAATAAACTCTGTACCTACAAAGATTTTCAGACCTCCAAATTATTGCTGTTTTTAATTCCATACAAGTAAAACACACTTTTTTTTTTTTTTCTTTCTACGTTTTGTAAGCCTCACGGTTGCCAAACCTATCATTAATGCAGCTGTTTTTCTGACCAAGTACAAAGCCATTTTTTTTATCTAAGCGATGTCCTTCAGATTTGTGTATTTCATTAGAATGAATGGGTATGAATGTGAAAATATATATGTGTAAATTGATATAATATGGTACAACAGACCATTGGAAGGGGGAGGGTGTTAGAATTTTGAAGTGAATATTTGAAAGAATTTACATTTTTATATTCACTTATGTTAGATTTACTGTTTATTGATCTTGTTTGTAGAAATTTGTTAAATAAAATTCTACTTTTTTAATTTAACTTCCCCCTAATGTTTCATATTAACCTGCGAGTGTGTATGTATATATGTAATAATATATATTTTTATACAAAGGGCATTTTCTAATTGTGAACCTGTCACCAAAACTTTTTTTGAGGACAAGTGGTAGCCTCTTTAACTAGTGAAACATTTCTCTGGTCAATCTTTTACATTTAGGCCCCATTCACACTGAGCGACATGAAAATCGAGCGATATTGCGCGACTTTTTTCCTATTAGGCTGTATGCAATCAGGAGCAATATCGCTCGGAAAAAGGGTCATGTAGGAGCGACAAGCTACCAGCTACAAGCGATATTGAGCGACGAGATGTGAACAGCTCCATTGCAATGGATTGGAGAAGCTACATAGAGCGATATCGCGTGGAAATATGAGCGATATCGCTGCAAAAATCACTCGCTAAAATTCGCTCAGTGTGAATGGGGCCTTAAATGATTGGTCTTTGAAAATATGAACACCTGGGCTATATTAATCTGGATGTCATCCCAGCTAATAAAAAACCCCCCACAAATCTTTGGTAAAAATTCTTTATCAAAAAAGTGCATCTGCTTTAGCACTGAGGAGACCTGTCCTTCGAAAAAAAAAAACTGGGAACAATCTTTGCACTGTGTATGTCACCCAAGATAGTGACAAGTTCACTTTAAAATACATTTGGGGCAGTTGCTAGAATACATTTCCATCTTGTAAGTGCAATCACAATGGTTTCCTTGTGTATAACTGCTCTGTACATCATTCAGTTCTTCACACAGTACAGTTTAAATAAAGTTTTTTTGTTTTTTTTTGTATCCTGTAAAATATTTTTATGTAGCAACTATTAAATATTTATATTTCACAACTTTGAATAGCTGTTTTTTATTCATTTGCAGACTTTATATCTAAAGCAAGTTGGTTAAATGTGTTCTCATATTTGTGGAGGGGGGGGTTTCTTCCCTTAAGATTGATTTCCTGTTTAGGAGCAAAAAGTCCAGTTCCCGCCAAAACGTTAGTTTTGCATAGTGAAGAAAGGTTAAAACCTCTATTACAGTTTGGGAGACTACTCATTTGCGTTTAGGTGCGTCCCTTCATTTCATCAAATGTCCTAAGAGCCTGTTTGGTTTTAACTTGCTGTCTGGACAAAATGATAGCTAACTTTCCTATCCCAGTCCAGGAGGAAAATCTCCCTATTGGGGTCAGACTGATGAATATGTTAGCATAAATAACATACAGACTAGCCCCACATTGCTTAAAATGTGAACACACAAACTGCTGAGAGATCTGTAAACGCTGGGGGGGGCTAGAAAACGTTTAATAAAATCTGTATTTTCTCTCCCGTTCATTGAAGGACACAGGGAACAGATCGGAGATCATGTACTGTAGGGTAATATCGCCACCTGCAGGAGAAGGACGCTAGGCACAAAACTAAAGACCAATTACAGCCTGGGGCGGCCCCTGCCGGTGTCCAAACCCCCACCTGCTGACAAGTCTCCAGATTTTTGCCTAGCATCATGAGTAAGGAGCTAAGAATTTTTTCTCGGGTATTCTTACCTGCTTCGTCCTGATCTTCAGAAGAATCTTCTAGCAAGTGTTGTCCGGGCGACAGGCTGGCTATCTTGGATCCTTGGAGTCTCCCCTGGACGACCGACGGATGCATGCAGACTCGCTGCGGCGGCCCTGGTCCGGCGGGGTGGCCTGTGGGTTCATCCCAGGGGGGTGCATATGACTGGGGGTCTCGGCCACCCAGTCACAGCACTCCCCACAGGCTGCTGGCGCTGCGACTGTGGTCGGGGGCGCCAGTTTTCGCAAGCGCCTGTGCACCTGGACTTCAATGTCCCCTGCGCAGCATGGATGTAGGTGTATGGTGGTGGGGGGGTCGGTATGGGTCTGTGGGGACCAGGATCTGCCTGGTCTCCCTTTTGGCTGCCTCCCCTCATCCCCCTCCGTCAGCCTATGGGGTCAAGTTGGGGTGTTGTGGCCCTGTGGGGACTTACCTGGTTCCTGGCCGGCATGCGGGAGCAGCTGTGGCTTCCTGGGGATGGGTTGCGCGGCGTTTCGGTGTCGGGCTGCTCCGCTGGGGCTTGTGCCCCTTTGTGTGTGCTGGCCGCTCTGTTCCGCCCGCGTGTGCCGCTAATCGAGCCCCTGGCTTAGTTTGCGGCCTTCTCCGGAGGCCGCGGCCGCCATGTTTGGTGTGGGCACGTGCGCCCACTTCCTGACGTCACTTCCGGTGCGCCGCTTCCCGGTCCCTGTAATAGCGCGTCACCCGGCAGGATCGGTCTTTCTTGGTCGCGGCCTTGGTTCGCGCTGTGCGGGAAACGCTTAAGATTGCGAAGACTCCGAGCTCTTCGGCGCTCCCGCCGGTTCCGTTTGGGACGCACGGGAGTAGGCGTTCCACTAAGGTTTTTCCTTATGTTCCTTTTTTTGATGACTTTGTCTACAAGGAGTGGAAGTGCCCGAGCAAGTCGTTTTCCGTTCCCAAGCGTTTCTCGGTTCGTTATCCTTTTGAAGAGTCCTTCCTATGTAGGTGGTCCACCCCTCCTGCGGTGGATCCGCCGGTTTCCCGCCTGAACAAGGCTACAGTCATCCCGGTGGAGGATTCACCTTCCTTTTGGGATCCCATGGATAGGAAGGCGGAGGCTGTGGCGCGTACGATGTACTCGGTTTCCAGGCTCTGTTGCGCCCCGTGTTGGCTTCAGCCCTGGTCTCCCAGACTTTGACCGAGTGGGCAAAGATGCTGCGTCAGGGTCTTGCGGGTGAAAACGTGTCTCCTGCTTTATGTCTGGAGCAGTGCAGGGTCTGCAATACCTGTGTAATTCGGCCTTGGATGCGGCACCTTTTGGTTTCCAAACTGTCTGTGTCGGCGGTTACTCTTCAACTTCTATGGCTTAAATGCTGGTCGGCCGACCAGGCTACCAAGATGCGGCCTTGGCAGCCCAGGAACGCCACACCCCAGGGTAAGCCCCCCGTGGCATGAAGGCCTGCCCCCATCCCGGGATTCCTGGGTGGGGGGACGTCTTCGGCTCTTTGCGGGCCGCTGGCTGTCCCGCGTCTCCGACACCTGGGTGCGGGAATTGGTGTCTTCGGGCTACAAAATCGAGTTTCTGTCGCGTCCCGGGGACAGGTTCTTCCCTTACAACATCCGTCTCCACAGCGCCTGGCGGACCTTCATTGTGCGGTGGCGGATCTTTTGTCCCAAGGGGTGGTGGTTTCCGGTACCCTCCTCGGAGAGGTTCAGAGGCTTTTATTCCAACCTGTTTACGGTGCCAAAGAAGGATGGGGTTCGTCCCATCCTGGACCTCAAGAGGTTGAACGTCTTTGTGCGCATTCGCAGGTTCCAGATGGAATCGATCCGCTCTGTGGTGACGTGTGCCTGCCGCTTCGTCCGGATCTTCTATCTCAGGGTCCGGTGTTCCATCCGTCTTTACCGTCGCTGGCTTTGACGGCGTGGCTGTTGAGAGCCAGGTGTTGAGGGATCGTGGTCTCTCGGATGCGGTTATTTCTACGATGATGCGGGCTCGCAAGCCCGTGTCCCGAAGGATTTACCATCGAACATGGAAGGCTTATTTTGCCTGGT